GGACTCTGATCTTGTAGGTATGTATCACACAATATTGATAGAATTTATTTCCTATATTTTGTACAATAATTTAAATTTGTTTCATTCAAATTTTGCCTTATTTTCATTCCATCATTCTCATTCTGGCTATATTTACTATCAACATAAGTAAGAATTTTTTATATTAGAAGCATTATATATTCATATTATAACTTTTATCTATTTTATAGTCATTGTTGTATTTTTGGTTTCTATTTTATATACATATATATATCATATGTATTGTACTATTAATTATAATAGTTGTTACAAACATTATTCTCAATTAGGACATATAAAATTGTTAATAATTACAATAACACGATTTATTGTTCCCTATTGAATTGACGTTACTCATCAAATATTTTGTTTTAATAATTATTTCTAATTCTGCAAAAAAAAAAAAACTTATATATTTGGTCCTTCATTTATTTTTATTGTACTTACAGATAATATATTTGCACCAAACCAAATGGTGAATCTCAGTGAATTAGAATCAGAAGAGCGTGACATTGAATCTTTCAAAAGGTTTAATTATTACTTTGAGCCCCCAAAAAATAAACCTAAAATTAATTTGAATGTGAATGACATTGTTGTAAAGAAAAAGGCTTCAAGTGCATCAGAGAATGGTTCCAGTCAGAATGAATATGTTTCGAATTTGCAGAGGTATCAAATGAACAATTGCTCACAGAAAAAATTTTAATTTTTTATTGACCTACGAAATGTTATTTTTTGTTATTGTCTAAGAAACAGTATTTTAAGTACTATTAGCAAATAAGTTAAAGATGAAATCTCTTAAGCAGTTGTTTTTATTTGTATATTCTGTGATTTTTTAAATAAAATTTACAATATCATAAAAAATCTTATTTTTAATTCATTTCAGTAATTCAATCATTTTTCATCTAGTTGTCGAATGTTATTTGGAGTCAAGCGTGTAAGGTTTACAATTTTAATTGTATATATATGCATATTTTTTTATTCACAGAAGATAATTTTTCCATTTATTATTATTATTCATATTTAACATTAAATATACTGCGACGTAGTTGTTTATACTATCACCTCCACATAGCAAATCTAAAAAATTCTAAAGATACTTTCTCAAATGTTGCAACATATTATACACCTAAGTCTGTTTTTACACGGTCTTTTTGTACACGGTTTTGATATAACACGGTTTGAAAATTGAATATTTTAATTTTTTTTACACGAATTTATTCCATTTAGCACGATTTGAAATTTTATGTACCTATATTTTTTTTGTCAAATTAAATTTTTGCGAAGTCACAAAAAAGTATTTATGAAAGAAAAAAGTCTGGAACCATCGATAGTATCGATAGTTTGCAAACACTAGCTTAAAGATTTAAGTGAATTCCCCTTTAGCGCGTACAAACAATTTTTACTGGTCAAAGCAAATGTGAATAGCACTAATTTAATTCTTGTTCTTAAAAATTCTTGTTTTTCACCAATTTTAATAGGTTTTAGAGATTAGGAACAAATCACCCATTTTTGTATAAGATCAATGTCTTTTTTTACACGTTTTTTTTTTTACACGGATTCTTCTGGAACCAATCTCCGTGTAAAAACAGACTTAGGTGTATTTGTATAGTTGTTCTTGAATGCAACTATATATTATATAGTTATATATAAAAAAATATTTATAATTCACTGTGAATGAATAATAAAGCATTTTAAATAATTAGAATAATACCTTAAATTAATTTAACAAGTTGCTTCAGGAACAAATATTTTTTTGACCGCACCATAAATATTAAACACAAAATTTAATTTTTTGCTTCCGACTTTAGCTATAAAGTATACCTGAAGGTCCAGAATCCCAAATTTCAGTTGGAAAATATATTTTTTGTCTTTTATATGTGAAATTACTGTTTCTATATTCCGTAAAAAAAACTAAGTCATGTTAAAAAAATTAAATTGATAAAACAACAAAACTTGATATGAAATATATTATTGGATGATATAGGGTGGGTCGATTTGTATGGGACAAAAAAAGTCCGATATAAGTACGAAAACAACGGTCTGGCAGGTTTCAGTCCTGCACATCATGGTCGACCAGCCGTTTGAAAGTGTAAAAAACACTCAAAAATTAAACTTGTTCATGTAAGCTTCAAATGTAATTTATTCGTTGAGAAGTTCAAAAATCAAACTGCCAGACCATCCATATTTATCTATGGAGGTAAGAGGGCATCCATTAATCACGTGATCAAGAATTTTTGTACCTCCCCTCCCGCTTGGAGATACGTGATGATACTCAAAATTATATTTTGGTACTTTCTCCTCCCCCACCATACTTTACGTATATTTTTAGTTACGAGAAAAAATGGTAAATTATTTGATTTTTTAACTTCCCGTAGAGTAAGTTATAGTAATCGCAAAAAAATCGAAATTGAAAATTTTTAGATATATTTAGGTTTCAGAAGTTTCTAAACATTTTGGCATACCTTAAAAAAAATGAATGTGGGTGTGTGTGTACGCGGATACAAATTTTCGTCGACGATTTTGCGAACACGGATCAACCGGTGTGAATAATTCAAAAAACATTCGATTCCTGCTAATAAGGAGACGTTCTGATTAGTTTTTGGCAAAGACAGGTCTATTGTTTCGTAGATACGGGGCAAAAAGTGCCAAAAATGGTATTTTAGTTTTTGAGACAACGAAGCATTCGATTTAAATAATTCAAAGAACATTTTACTTGTATTGACGAAATAAACAACTGGTACAATTTTTGTAAAGAAAGATTTAATGTTTCGGGAGATTTAATAAAAAAAAAGTAAAAAATAATGCCATTTGACGGTCAAAAATGAACATTAGACATACGAGGTCTGTTCAAAAAGTACCCGGAATTATAGTTTTTTCAAAAAAATATTTATTTATTCGTCTACATTAATGTGGTCCCCTTCAAAGTAGTCCCCCCCAGATATAATACACTTATGCCAGCGTTTTTTCCAATTTTCGAAGCACCCTTGATATTCACTTTTTGATATGTCCTTGAGCACTCTCAGCGATTCGGCCTTTATTTCTTCAATCGAGGAAAACCGCCGTCCTTTCATGGGTCTCTTCAACTTAGGGAATAGGAAAAAGTCACACGGAGCCATATCTGGTGAATATGGAGGTTGGGGCATGACTACGGTATTGTTTTTGGCCAAAAAATTACGAACAAGCAACGACGAGTGAGCAGGTGCGTTATCGTGGTGCAACAGCCATGAATTGTTTTTCCATAAATCGGAGCGTTTTTTTCGGATTGCTTCACGCAAACGTCGCATCACTTCAAGGTAATACTCCTTATTAACCGTACGACCTTGTGGTAAGAACTCTTGATGCACTATGCCGTTATAATCAAAGAAAACAGTAAGCAAAACCTTGACATTCGATCGAACTTGACGTGTTTTTTTCGGTCTTGGCTCACCTGGGCTCTTCCATTGGGACGATTGGGCAGACTCACCATAGGCTTTTTGTAACATTTCACACACTTTGTTACACTTTATTTCATTTTTTACGCAAAATTTAATACAAATTCTTTGACTTTTCAATTCTTCCATTGTAAAAATCGCCGAGCTCAGAAAAACACGTCGAACCTTAGCGACTACCACAGACAAAGTAAACAGTGAATATAGCTGAAAATTTCCTCATACTTTAGGGGCATGTATACCAACACAATAAAAAAAAATTTTGACAATCAGACACTCCAGACCCGCGAAATTTAAAAATTCCGGGTACTTTTTGAACACACCTCGTATGTATATGTATTATCAGATATTTTATAAAGAATATAATAATAAGTACAAATTCTGTGTACATTTATATAGGTTCCGTACCAATGTTTACATGTTAAGGTGCTTCTCACCTAACGAACGAGCATGAACAAGCAAGAATATACGTACCAGAACGAACGGCAACGAGCATAGTGTGGAAGCCACAACGAATACGAACGAACACCAGCAAATATAGCGAGCAATGTTCTGGTGCGCCACACCTAGCAAACGAGCACGATCGAACATGGATTTTGACATGCGCGTGGGTCGCTTTTGTTAGAATATTTTAGTCTGCGCATATTATTCATCATGTTCGTTCGTGTTCGTTCGTTAGGTGTGGAAGCACCTTTCCGCAACTTGTCGGTACATCAAAGAAAATTGTTCGTTCATGTTTGAACTCGTATGCTCGTATGTGCAGTGTACCATGAATGTAGACAAACATTTTTCTTATTTGATGTTAATATATATTAACTGCATTAGTCCTGCATTAGTTTATGTTGTGACTATTAAAAGATATTGCTGTTATTGACCAATTTTGTGAATTTGATCACTTTAAATAATTTTTCTCTTTCCCGCCACTTTAAATAATAAAACTGACGTTCCACGGTACATCCTCGAACAAAGAAGATGTAAGCCTTCACTGCTTTGAGGCGTTTGTTCAAGTTCGTTTGAAATGATTCGCCTTCGTTCGTGTTCGTGTTTGTTCTTCTTTCTATTTTCTTGTTCGTCATGTTTGTTCGTGCTTGTTCGTTGGGTGAGGCGGCACCTTTAGCGACAACGAGCTTTGATATTTCGACTCCAAACCAGCTATGCAGCGTGATTGCTTAAAAAAAAGATAAAATTTTAGAAAAAAATCAAAATACAGAAAAGTATCAAAATATAAAAAAATCAAATGTTTCAAAAAAGTTTTTTTTTTTAAATTTCAAAATTTCTCAAAAATCTAATTTTTTCAAAGTTTTGCAAAGTTTTTTTTAATAATTTAGTTTTAGGTGCGGAAAGTTCTAGAAATTTACCTAAAGGCACGATGTCATGCACCACTAGTTTGAAAATATTTGGATTTAAAAATAAAAATCAAGTAAAAAATAAATACACGTGATGATGCACATCTACACTTTTTTTATCTATGGAGTAGATTTTCCAAAGAGTTCGTTTGTACGACTAAAGTCCGATATGATGACAGTTCTTAAATTTATCTGTCATTCCATGCAATCAGACATAACCTTTCTTGTCAATGTAGAATAATATTGTACAAATTGATACAAATCAAGTCATGAATCATTTCTGAATATGATAATTAATATAAATGTGCATTGAAAAGTTGTATTAAACATGTCGAAGATGGAAATACTTAAGCTCTACAAGATGATTTTACGTGAATCACAGAAAATATCAGCTTATAATTATAGGTTATACACTTATTTAACACAACCACGTTTAGAATTGATAGATAAATAAATTTATATTTAAAATTTACAGAATGTATGCCATACGCAGAGTTCGAGATGCTTTTAGAGAAAATAAAAATCTAACCGACAAAAAATCTATTGATTTGCAATTGCAGTTTGGTGCAAAGAATTTAGAAATCATAAAAAGACAGGTAATAATTTTTTATTTATGAATAGAATTACTAAATAACCTATCTATTTTCAAACATATTCAGATAACAACTGATTAAATAGTTAAGAAATTAAAAATATCATTTTATGAATAATGGTGCAAGCATTATTTTAAACAAATGATCATTTTTTACATATACACCACCCTGCAAAAGTTTGGACTCAATTAGGAAAATCGGTTTGAACTCACTTAGGAAAATCCTTGTCTTTTTTATTTATCACTTTATTCATAATTTTCAGACAGTTTGATGTAACAGATTCGTTGAGAATTACATTCAATTTACAAGTTAAAAACATTTACATGTGATATTTTTAAATTGGAATTTAAAGTGGAAAAAACGAAAAAAATCAATCCAGCCGTTTTTCATCAATATGTTGGCCTTTTGATTTGATGATGGCTCCACAAATTATTAATTGATGATGCATCGAGTAAAAGTTCATTTGAGTTCAAAAAATAGTTAATGTAATTCAAAGTGATAATTTGTAACATTTTACAATATCTCAAAAATTAACATATTTCATATATAATAAATAAATGAGAACTTAAAGGAAACATTCAAAAATCATTCTTAACATGTTTTTTCTATATCAATATGTACATTAAACTGTCTGAGGAGAACGATAAATAAAGTGATGAAAAAAATCAAAGTGGGTCCAAACTTTCGCAGGGTAGTGTATATCAATATTAGATAACTAATATACTTGCATATTTTGCATCCTTCTAATAAAAGTACATTTTTAGAATTGGATCAAATACTGTAATTGTAATTACAGCAATTAACCATTGTGTAATACAAAATATGTGCAACAAGTATACGTCATCATTAAAATTATGACTAAAATTTAGAGGAAAAAAAAGCTATTTGAGTGCATGATGAAAGGAAAAAAAAAAAGAGTGCGCGTAAGGATCACACGCGATTGAAGTAAAACTTTTAATATTGTATGAGTAGGCAATTAAGATAAAAAAACATCATATTTGAATTTTAAAAATCATCTTTTAATAATCATATAACATCAATAATAATAAGATCTCCTGAGCATCGGCACAGCTGTCCTACTGATATTAAGAGTTTGAATATGATGTGAAGCTTTCTTCCTAATTTTGTTACCTATCTTACCGGGAAATTCAAACCATAAACGTAGAAGTTCATCATTATCGCCACGTTCTATGTACACTAATTTTCCCACACAACCATTAGCTAAGCCATCACTTACATCAATATTAGTTGTTATTATGTAAAATTTATTCAGAACTAAAATTATTTCATACGGCAAAGCCGTAATGCTGCTGACGAATGTATGATTGTTGATCTGTCGCATGGCAACCTACACAAATATCCGTGGCAGTAGATATTATTTTGTCTTCAACGAGATTCAATATAAATTTATTATATTCCATGGCACATTTATTCTCTAAGAAAAGTCTTATTCCATGAGGACATAATTCAGCAACCTCTTCTTTTGTAAAAAAAACGTGATTCAATTAATGCAAGTTCATATAGGGTTTAGCGGGTTTAGCGCTCGACTTACGCATGCCATGACGGGAGTGGATACTCGCGACATCAGCGCTTACGGCGTCGTAGTGTTCAACTACACGTTGGCATTTTCGTTGCATTTGTACGGATTTACACCCGTGTCGCGCCTAAAAATTTTTACACCCATATCGCGCCTAAAGAAGTTTTACTTCAATAATTTTTATATTCAAATTTAACTTTTAATTTTGAGCATAATATTGGGGATGATTTTATATATCCACTTTTGTGAATATAAATTGTGATTTATGAAAATAACAAGACGGTTTTGTATATGATAGTAACATTAAAAATACGATTTTCCGGTTTCAAATAAAATGCTTTTATATCATTTCTTTATAGTGTTAACCTAATTCACAATTTATCTTTTGTTATTTTGCTGTTCTTGGATAGTTTATGTTAAGAAATAGATAAAATTATAAATCATAAAACTGTTTAATATTTTTGAAAATAAAAGAAATAATTTTCATAAATATGAACTAATAGTTCTAAAATCAATGTGCAGTAATATGCATTGAATCGTCAAAATACTGTGTTATAAAGTACTTATACATTCACTCCCAAATACAAAATAAACAAACATCTAATAACTAGATTGTGATAAGAACATAATAATAAATTCAATTACATGTAATAATATATTGTTGAAAAATGTTTTATTACAAAAATTATGTTAAACTTGTGTGTTTCGAATTAATTGTTTATTGCCAATATAATTTACAAACTCATTGATATTTACTATCTATTTAAAGCATATATATATATATATATATATATATAATAAAATTTTGTGATATGAGTGGAACGAATATTGAATGTTAAATATGAACAATACTCAGGTGATAGAAATATAAAACACTCACTGAGTGTTGTATTGTTCATATTTAACATTTGATATATATATATATATATATATATATATATATATATATATATATATATGAAATAAATAAAAATAGTTCAGTCTTTTCTTGAAATTCTAATCATGTTCTTATTTATTTGCAGGCACTGATAGGAAATATGTTCGATAGTACGAAGCTAGTAATAGAAAAATAATTAATGGTGTAGTATCTATAGTTATGATATTTTAATTTCGGCAAGTATTTTGAGGTTTGTAAATATAGAATAATCATATTGGTAGTATAATCCTGATTTATGAAGAACATCAATATTATATTTAGATATTTTGCTTAAAAATAGTTTGTTATTCATGAAATATTTTATATCATGTAAAATTTTGATAAAATATTTTGTTATGAATGCTTTATATGCATTATTATATAGTTTTTTGATGATTATGATATTATATGAATAGAATGTTTTAAAAGATATTGTTAAGATGAATTTTATTACAAAACTTTGTATGGATTCATGATATTATTTGGATCCATCATATTTTTTATTTGTTTCATGAGGTTCAAGGAAACTTCATCCTTGCTGTAGTGAATATATTCTCTTTTTCGAAATCCAATACCATGCTCAGCACTAATACTGCCTTTGTATTTTGATACAAACTCATAAACATAGGGCTCTATCTTGTCCACAACTTCTTGATTAAATTTTGGAAGCACTATGTTCAAGTGTATATTGCCATCACCTGAGATGAATATTAATTGTTGTTAATTTAGTAATTAGATAACTTGACATTATATATGAATATATATATATATATATATATATATATATATATTAATAAATAATTCACACAAATTGAATAAATCCGCAAATACAGGATGGCATTTTATGTGGAATTGTAGGGGATACGTTTCAAGGTGACAAAATGAAGAAAAATAAATATTGTTGAGAACTATAATGTAATATACATTATCTTAAGTATAACAGATTCCATAATAAAATTAGTTAGTATCAAATCTAACATTGATATAAAACTTTATATTAATTACAATAATATATTAAAACAAGGGTCAATTTATAAAAGTTTTATATTAATGTTAGATATGGTACTAAACTTATTACCAACTAATTTTAATATGGGATCGGTTATATACTTAGACTGTTATGATTGCATATCACATAATAGTTCTCACTGAGAACTTCTCAGCTATATATAAAGCAAAAATAACTTTTAATTATAGTTCTTGTACATTTTGATTAATTATATTGAAGCTAAGGCAATGGTTTGAAAAACTTGGTAATATTATTTTGCTTCCTTATTTCAAACTAATACTTAATAGTCACATCAGCAATTTGCCTTTTAAAATAAGACTTTCCATATACGGACCAATGTCTGTATAGAAAACGCACAGTTCATTTTTAGTTCTTCACTAACATTTTTCTAATGATATGTCACGTTTCTATTGCTTGTAGAAGCAATTGAAGTGAATTGCTCTTCTTGAATGGACTTATCTTCATTGGAAAAAGATTTATTGTCATTAGAGTCAAATTTTACTAAAAGTATATTTTATTCATCTAGTGATAAATAAGGTTGTTTTCATTCTATTGGTTTGCATTCTCAATAACACCGATAGCTGCGAAGACGACCAGGCCAAGGCTTGCTTATTTATTTATTTATTTATTAGGCTTATGTCAAAGTTTTTTTTATTAATTCAAAATGACTGCATTTACAAAGGATTTTGGGTACGATACACAGTGGAATCCGCGAATAACGATTTTTTTAGCCGCGAATAGCGAAAACACAGATGAAGGAAACGCGAATAAAGAACTTCTATTTAATATCGTTCAAAAATAATTGTTTTAAGCTATCGAAAATCAAAATATATCCACTAAAAATAGTTATATGGAATTCTTTGAAAATTATAATTAGAATGAATTTTCCATCTATGTAATATTAATGCGATGAATATGCGTTTATTCATTAGCTTTAGTACTACTAATAAGTAATTACTTATTTTGATAGTTTAAACCGCTGTGCTCAATTTTGATTTTTTGTAAATCACGTCGCCCAATATTAAGATATATAGAAGGGTTAACGCAATTTCAGCACCGCGTTATGTATGTATGATTGAAGAATTATCGTAAATTATCAATTGAAACTATTTGTAAATATATTCACAATGGTCTCTTATGCCAGGCAATGTGTCTGAAATACATTTTGTATGAGCAATGAGCGTATATACTGGGAGTAACGCTTTGTTACTTGATAGGTAGAGCAAAAAGAAATCCATCATTTTTGCAATAATTGGCTTTAATTATCTTCTGTATCTCGCGTTGTATAAGTCCGATTATGTTCTACTAGGCGGCGTTAGAAAAATGAGGTTTGATACTAAGAGAACGTCTCTTTGTTTAAGCGCGCGTCAAAAATGGACACTAGCAAAGAGTAAATATTATATTTAACACTTTTTGTTAGATAAAGGTGCAAACGTAAATGTGAATAGCGGTAATGGTTCTGATACAGTAACTGCTAACCACGTCTAATTTTGGTTTCGTCAATTCATTCGTGTAATTTCGACTTTCGGTGAGAGGGCAAAATGGTGGCCAAACCAGGATTGGGATTTGGTGGGTTTAGCAAGCAATTATATACTATGAGCTGATCTATTGCAAAACTTTTAACTCGGAACTGTGCGTCAACAATTGAACTGTCTAGAAGAGGAAGCAATCGCCCAGAAGCGGTCAGCTTTACCAATAGGAGAGTAATTGTTCAATCCGGACAACGTTTGGCAACACACATCGATAGAGACTCGCCAGAAGCTCCGGGAGCTTGATTGTGAGCTTTTGATGCATCTATTTTATAGTTTGGACTTGCCGCCAAGTTATTACCACCTGCTCCTGACCAAAGCGAACAGTTTTGCTGATGAAAAATTCACTTCAAGAAAGTCTTGTAAAAATCGACTTTTAAATTATTTTTTTTAATGGGGCAAGGGTTTCTATAAGAGAGGCCGAATCATATTATCTTCAAAATGGCAACTAGTTATCGAACAGAACGGCGCCTAATTGATTTGAATCGGATCATTTCATCTATAGTAATTAAAGCCCTAATTTCATGGGTGCACTGTTTACCCATTAATCTTCTTAAGAAATAAAAAATCTAGTTGGTATTGCTATTTTGCCTTGAGGCAAGTTACATGAGCTTTCCGATATGTGTAAATAATCGACTTAATCAATAAAAAAAAATTAATTTATGAGTGATTAAAAGTATTCCGAGTGGATTTATTACACATAATTGAAAATCCAACAAGCGCGTTAACTCGGAGTATTTTCTAAAAACAAATTTTCAATAATCAATAATTTTCATAATTGAACCAGTGTTCCCGTGGGACTTTAATTATTAAGATCAAGTACTCTATCGTTATACCAAGTAAATGGCCTAATTTTAATTTTAACAAACGTCAAAAAAACTACTCATTTTCTCAAACTTGGATGAATTTACTTGTCGTAAGGTAATATTTCAGTAAATTCTATAAGACCATGGTATCTATCGCCAAAACAAGTTCCATAAAAATCGGCTTAAATTTTTATGGATTATATTCAACAGGTAATTACAAGAAATTTGGTCTCGATCGATTCAGAATGGCTTGAAACATCGAGGAAACATAAAATTAGCGAATCGGATTTTTTATGAAAACATAAACTTCTCCTTCGGGAAGTTAATAAATGAGATATAAGTTACCAATTAGAATTAAGGCAACGGTGAAAGTGCTGCTTTAAACAGTGAAGGTGATGAATTTATCATTACTAGTATAAATGATTGGTGATTGGTAATTTTATTTATGTCTTATTGGTAAATTTAAATCTTACACACTAAGCACTTTTTAGCAAAAAGCATTGATATTCAATTTGCTAAAACAGTTCCCATTCTGATGTCGAATAAGAAAATAATTAATATCACAAAAATACAAACCGACATGCCCGTAACCAAACGCATGGCCTTCACTTCCAATACGGTTTTGTATCTCCGGCACCACTGAGTAGAAATATTTCAGAGGCAGTGAGACATCATATTTTAGGGTGTATCCCAATTTTGGTATTGCCACTGGAATATTTTCTCTTATTTCCCATAATTGCTGCAAATATATAAAATAACATAATTCAGGAACTGCTAGAAAACATATAAATAAATTGCTGTGAAATATAAATTTCTGATTCTCACTGTCTGATTTGCATGATATAATGGATATTGAATTGATGCAGAATATATGAAATTTTAGAATTTTATCTCGCGTTGCTCGTTTCGGATTTTGATGAAACAACGTGGCACAATGGTAGATTTGATGCCCAAACTGACCGTGGTAAAATATTAGAGGCCTATGAAAAGCGGTTTAATTATAAAAATTAATTAAAGTTTGCATTTTAGCAACGCGCGGCATGCATAGCTTGCAAAGCTATTCCTTATCCTTAGCTTGGTATCGTCGTCGAATTCTAATTTTTGCTCCGGGGTTCAATTCCTAATTCAGATTTAATATTTTTTCTTATTTTTATTTGATAATTATAATTTCACGTGTAAATAATATCAACATTTATTTGAGTTTTCGATTAATTTTATATTTTTTGCTGAATATTCCATAATGAAGTCCTCCGTAACACCTGTTTTTATTTTGATATTACTTATGAAACTTACGACCATAAAAATGTTAAGTGATTCCTGAAACATTATAAATTTTGTATTAATAACAACAATAATACGGAAGAAGAGATATAATTTATTTACTGTCTCTAATAATAGGAGAGCTGAATGTAATACAACATACAACCTAATACCTGTACCTAATGCGTATGACTGACTCCACGTCAAAAATATTGCTACTCAATTATAAATATTGCAATTATTTTATTGTTGTGAATTTGCCACTACTTGCCTAATCAACAGTTACTTATGGTGCAGTGGCATTCTAATTATTAGCAATTCTCAAAACATTTATTATCAAAATTAAGTATTAATCTAATAATTCAATGCAAAAATAAGGTTGCCTGAAGGTATATAGCCATTCTTCGCGATTTTTGAGTCTTGACAGCATCAGCTCGTATAGAAATACCATATTTAAAATAGCACTCTTTAGAAAGCTGATTTTTTCGTTCCACCAGAACGAGTGTCATATTGACATCAGACTTTGGTTATTCTTTTCATCAGCTCTTTAATATGCTCCTCGGCGTATTCTGAAATTATAGGTTGACAATTCAACCTTACGAAGGTTGGCTTTTTACCGCTACCCTACATCAAGTAGAATTAAGGCCATTAAAAGTGCTTTACTTCTTGCATTAGTCTGCTTGCTAGTCAAGTCTACTGATATGTGTTGTTTCGCATCTTCTACCAATCAATCTAAGCAATCAACAAAATCAGATAAAGCGAAATTAGGTGGATCGTAACAGCTGTAAAAATGTATGTCATCTACTGATGCTGCTACAAATCCAGCGTTGATATTGTGAACGGTTTGCTGGAAATAAAATTTGTCACAGGACCAAATAACAGCTTTTGTGGTACTGTATGTTTCTCATGACCGATCAGCTAGTTGTTTGTAATTGGCTGATAAAAGGACAATATCAATTTTCATCTACCGTCTGCATAAGAAAATTGTATGCAGCCTCACAGTGATCCATGTTTAGCAGTATTGTCTTCATGTTTTAACTTCCCGTAGGGTAAGTTATAGTAATCGCAAAAAAATGGAAAATGAAAATTTTTATATATCTTTACGTTTCAGAGGTTTCTGAATATTTTGGCATGCCTTAGAAAAAAATGGATGTATGTGTGTGTGTGTGTGCGTGTGTGTATGTGTGTGCGGATACAAATTTTCGTCGACGATTTCGGGAACACGGATGAAGCGATTTGAATAATTTAAAAAACATTCGATTCGTATTGATAAGGAGACGTGCTGATTAGTTTTTGGCGAAGGCAGGTCTAGCCGTTCCGAAGATATAGGGGCAAAAGTGTCAAAAACGGTAACTCAGTTTTTAAGAGAACGGAGCGTCCGATTTGAATAGTTCAAAAAACATTTCACTTGTATTAACAAGAAGAAAAACTGATCAAATTTTCATGAAGGCAGGTCCAGCGGTTTCGGAGATATAATAAAAAAAGTAAAAAAAATGCCATATGGCGGTCAAAAATGATCATTAGACATATGCACATCAAATTATCAGATATTTTATAGACATTTTAACAATTATAACTTATCCGTTAGACGGCGGCGCGGCGCTTACGCGCTTTATATTTTGTCCCTATGCAGTTAAAGCAGTACGATTGCTTTGAAAAAAAATTCAGATCTTCCACAATATGTCAAAATAAAGAAAAAAAATTTTTTTTCAAAAAAAATTTTTTTCAAAAAAAAAATTTAAAAAAAATGTTTTTTTTTTTAAGAAAAATTTTTTTTCAAAAAAAGTAATTTTTTGTCCAATTTATAGTTTCTCAAAAATCTTATTTTTTCAAAGTAAATTTTTTTTAAAAATGTTAATCGTTTTTAAAAAAAATAATAATTTTTGGTACGGGTAGTTCCAGCAATTTGCCTTAAGGCACGATGCCTTAATTGCCTTAAGACAGAATTCCACTTACAGCCAGTTTGTTTATGACATGTCATCTGTGTGTGCCGCTATGATGAGCTACATTCTCAGTGTGTGTATGTGCGAATATAGATTTTCGTGGACAATTTTGAGAATACAGATCAACCGATATAAATGATTAATAAATAATTTTATTTCTATTGATTTGGAGACGTGCAGATTAGTTTTTCGTCAAGGTAAAATGATTCGAAGATCCAATTAAAAAAATAAAAAAAAATACATTTTGCGGTCAAAAATGATCATTAGACATGTGCGCATCAAATTATTAGATATTTTATGGTGATTTTAATAATAAGTAGACATTCATTTACATGTGTATGAGTTTCGTACCAAGACTTGAAATGTCTAACCGAAGCGGCGCTTACTCGCTTTGATATTTAGTCTCTAAAACAGCTACGCAACGCGATTGCTTTAAAAAAAAAATCAGAATTAAATAAAATTCTTTTTCCAATATAGTCTGACTTTTTTTAAAAAACTTTAAAATTCTCGAAAATCTTTTTTTTTTAATTTACAAAAAAAATTAAGTTTACGGGTAGCTACAGCAAATTTGCCGTTGCACGATGCCATGCATCACTAGTTTTTTCACTTTCTAATTGGTGTGTAAATAATATAATGAGTTACCCTGATTTTGCTCGGCTCCGATGCCACAACTCCATCTTCTACCACACTTTCATTCATTGCCTTCTGCAAAAAGGATTGTAGCTTTTCTTCGTCGTGCTCCATATGACTGCCTTGAGTTTCAATTACCATGTAAAATGGATAATTGCCGATAGGCCTTCTAAAATTAACGGTACTCGATAAAAATGTTATTCTTAATGTTTTCAAGCATGAAAATTGTCATTAAATTTTATTTTTAACCTAATTAATTTTCCCTAGGGTAAGTCACAGTAATCGCCAAAAATCGAAAATGAATTTTTATATAAATTTACGTTTCAAAACCTTTTGAATATTTTGGCATACCTTAGATAAAATGTACACTTAGTGAATGTTCACTACACGTATCAACCGATTTGAATGGTTCAAAAATCATTCCTACTGATAAGCAAACGTGCTGATTAGTTTTTGGCCAAGGCAGGTCCAGCCGTTTTGAAAATACGGGGCAAAAAGTGCTAAAAGTGATATTTCAGTTTTTCAGAGAACAGAGCGTCCGATTTTAGTAAATCAAACAATATTGTATTAACAAAAGGAACATTTGATTAAATTTTATGAAAGACGGGTGTAGCGGTTTTGGAATTTCGCTGAAAAAAAGTAGAAAAAATGCCATTTGGCTGTCTAAAATATTCATTAGACATAGGCACATCAAATTAATAGATATTTTATAGAGATTTTAATAATAAGTACAAATTTTGTTCACACCTTCATTGGTTCCGTAGCAATGTTTATTCGTTAGATTGCGATGCGGCGCTTACGCGTTTCAATATTTCGTCTCCACGCAGCCAACGCAGTGCGATTGTTTTGAAAAAAAAAAATATATTCAAAAAATTTCAAAACTAGCTGTAAGTGGAATTCTGTCTTGAGGCAATTAAGGCATCGTGCCTTAAGGCAAATTGCTGGAACTTCCCGTACCAAAAATTATTATTTTTTTTAAATTTTTTTTTTTATTTTTTTTTTTTGAAAAATTTTTTTTTTTTATTTTGACATATTGTAGAAGATCTGAACTTTCTTTTCAAAGCAATCAATCGTACTGCTTTAACTGCATAGGGACAAAATATAAATCGCGTAAGCGCCGCGTCGCTGTCTGAAGCATAAGCATTGGTACGGAACCCATAGGAATGTTAACAAATTGTATACTTATTGTTAAAATCTCTATAAAATATCTGATAATTTTATGAGCATATGTCTAATGATCATTTTTGACCGCCAAATGGCTCATTTTTTTACTTTTTCCTCCATATCTCCGAATCCGCTAGACCTACCTTCATGAAAATTTTATCGATTCTTCATCTTGTCAATACAAGTGAAATGTTTTTTGAATTATTCAAATCGGACGCTTCGTTCTCTCAAAAACTGAGCTACCGTTTTCGGCACTTTTTGCCCCGTATCTTTGGAACGGCTAGACCTGCCTTCGCCAAAAACTAATCAGCACGTCTCCTTATCAATACGAATCGAATGTTTTTTGAATTATTCAAATCGGTTGACCCGTGTTCCCGAAATCGTCGACGAAAATTTGTATCCGCACATACATACACACACATACATACATACACACACACACACACACATACACACACACACATACATCCAATTTTTCTAAGGTATGCCAAAATGTTCAGAAACCTCTGAAACGTAAAGATATATAAAAATTTTAATTTTCGATTTTTTTGCGATTACTATAACTTGCCCTACGGGAAGTTAATAAAAAAAAAAATCCCAAAAATTACAAAATTCCCAAAAATATAATGTTTTCCGAGTTTTTAAAATTTCAAAGCTTTTTTAAAAATTTTAATTTTTGGTACGGTAAGTTCCAACAATTTGCTTTATGGCACGTGCACGGCATAAATAAAATTGTGTGGCTTTATAAATATGCGAAATGAATTCAAATAGTGTCATGACTTGTTTGTTTGTTTAATTTTGATGCATATTATAAATAGGATAAATAAATAATCATTTTTATTTTGTTGCCACAGTAAGTTAATATTGAACAGGTATAATACAGAACTCATGTATTATATCTATTATATTAAAAATAAATTTTAAATGATCAATTGACTATAAACTGATTTTTGCTGGTTATGCATTTTTTGAGAAATTGTTAATTTTGTATAACAAAATCATATCATATTTTTGAATAAAAATAAAAACTTCGTTTGCTTTAAAATTAAATTGAAATTGATGACTAATAAGAGAGTAAAAATTCAGCATACAAAAACAATAATGCCTCATTCATTTCATGGATTTGTCATAACTATCGAATTGAAGAGTATATTATTTCAAATACTCGTCAAATAGAAAACATTTTCAATTGTTATCGATTTCAATTGAAGGTAAACAGTTGAATTAAAGAGAGGCAAATCTTTAACTACAAATAATATAATTTTTGATTTATAATAAAATATTGTTTATTACAACTTACTTGTAGCCGAACTTTTCTAGACAGGCATCAACTGATGAAGCATCCATCATCTCCACTGCGGATAACACCTCGCTGACCATTGATTTCGCAAGTCGAAATGTTTCTATAACATTCTCGAAACTATTCAGTCCTTTGTGGAATATAAAAAATTAAAGTCACTATACATATATACACACACACACATATATATATATATATATATATATATATATATATATATATATATATATATGTATATATACAGGTATATATTATAAATTATAACAATTATATATTTTTTGCAAAATTTCCGAAAATGTTTGAAAATTTCAATATTTTCTAATTTGAAGCTTGAAAATAGATCTGTAAATGTATTGAGGCACCTACCCAAAAATGCCAAATTGACTGCTTTTGGAAAAGGGGGGCACTGCAAAGCTACAGCAGTTATCATTCCGATAGTTCCTTCGGATCCAATGAATAAATTTTTCAAATGATATCCAGTATTGTCTTTTTTCAATGTCGACAGCAAATTTAATATATCGCCATTAGCTTGCACCTGTAAACCAGCACAAATGAATATTTAGTACAACTAAATTCAGAACTTTGGAACCAATGCATATAATGAATGGATTTGAACATATATAGATTTTTTAATTTTCTGTACACAAAAATAAATATTTTACTGTTTCTTTAATAACGTTATAATTTTTTCAAACCCGGGCGGCACTTATTTTAGGGCGACATTTTTTAGTTTATTTATACATAGTTGTAAAAAGCAACTTATTCATTGCATATTTATTAACTTCCGTAGGGTAAGTTATAGTAATGGACCGAAAATCGAAAATGAAATTTTTAACTTCCCGTAGGGTAAGTTATAGTAATCGCAAAAAAATCGAAAATGAAATTTTTTATATATCTTTACGTTTCAGAGGTTTCTGAACATTTTGGCATACCTTAGAAAAAATGGATGTATGTGTGTGTGTGTGTGTGTATGTGTGTGTATGTGTGTGTGTATGTATGTACGTGTGTGTATGTATGTGCGGATACAAATTTTCGTCGACGATTTCGGGAACACGGATCAACCGATTTGAATAATTCAAAAAACATTCGATTCGTATTGATAAAGAGACGTGCTGATTAGTTTTTGGCGAAGGCAGGTCTAGCCGTTCCAAAGATACGGGGCAAAAAGTGCCGAAAACGGTAACTCAGTTTTTAAGAGAACGGAGCGTCCGATTTGAATAATTCAAAAAACATTTCACTTGTATTGACAAGATGAAGAATCGATAAAATTTTCATGAAGGTAGGTCTAGCGGTTTCGGAGATATGGAGAAAAAAGTAAAAAAATGAGCCATTTGGCGGTCAAAAATGATCATTAGACATATGTACATCAAATTATCAGATATTTTATAGAGATTTTAACAATAAGTATAAATTTTGTTTACATTCCTATGGGTTCCGTACTAATGCTTATGCGTTAGACAGCGACGCGGCGCTTACGCGCTTTATATTTTGTCCCTATGCAGTTAAAGCAGTACGATTGCTTTGAAAAAAAGTTCAGATCTTTCACAATATGTCAAAATAAAGAAAAAATTTTTTTAAAAAATAAAAACAAAAAAAAAATTAAAAAATTTTTTTTTTTTTTAAAAAATTTTTTTCAAAAAAAGTAATTTTTTGTCCATTATATAGTTTCTCAAAAATCTTATTTTTTCAAAGTAATTTTTTTTTTCAAAAATGTTAATCGTTTTTAAAAAAATAATTTTTGGTACGGGAAGTTCCAGCAATTTGCCTTAAGGCACGATGCCTTAATTGCCTTAAGACAGAATTCCACTTACAGCTAGTTTACATTTCTTCACGTTTGAAGGTTTCTGAACATTTTGGCATACCTCAGAAAAAATGGAAGTGAGTGTGTTTTGTGTGTCCGCATTTTTTCGTTCACGTTTTCGGGCGCCCCGATCAACCGATTTGATGGTACAACCAAAGGGTACAGAAACTAGAAATCGAGTTTTTGAGAGAATGGAACATCCGATTTGATTGATGCAAAAAACTTCAATTTGTAATAATGAGGAGAAGTGGTGATTAGTTTTTGGCAAAGGCATATCCAATCGTTTCGGAGATACCAAGCAAAATGTGCAAAAAATATGTTTTTGAGAGAACTAAGCATCCGATTTGAATGATTCAAAAAACTTTCTACGTGGATTTTAATTTGAATTCTGCCTAAAGTTCAAATGCTCACTTATATACTTGAAATAAATAATTTTAACTTTGTAATTAATTTATATATTTCTGTTTAAATATTAGACAATGTCCTTCATTTTAAATTTGATTGATTGAGTTTTGTTTATTTTTCTGTAAACATATATATAAGTTACAGTATTTATAATTGTATATTTGAAAATATTTAATTTTCCTCGAATATATCATTACGGTACGGGAAGTTCCAGCAATTTGCCTTTAGTTACAATGCCATACACCACTAGTTTTCTTTCTTGAATTATAAATGATCATTATGATTTTTATTATTAATTATATATAAATTATGATTAACCATATGATTTAGAATTTTATTCCTCGGTGTATATAAATGTATATTAGTGTAAATTTTGAATTCTAATTTAAGAACAGGTTAATAATTTTATTTTATTGTATTCATTAAAATTCGTTGAATTCGTATAAGCATCTTTACGATTTTGTTCGGCGATTTTTCCTATTTTTTTATATCAGCTTATAAATGTCATTTCTTTTAAAAAGTTTATATGATTACTTTGTGATATATCAATATTTTTTTAAATCATCAATTTTTCTTTTGAAAATCAGCAAAACCTTAAGGCATTATATAAATATGTTGACGAGTGCATATAAATATGTTTGAAAAAAATTACTCTGTGTATAAATTAATATTGATTAAATAACTTAATAATTTTTTAACTTTCCGTAGGGTAAGTTATATATAGTAATCGCAAAAATATCGAAACTGAAATTTTTTATATATCTTTATGTTTCAGAGGTTTCTGAATTTTGGCATATCTTAGAAAAAATGGATGTGTGTGTGTTTAGATACAAACTTTCTTCGATGATTGTAGGAACACGCATCAACCTATTTGAATAAAACATTCGATTCGTAATGACAAAACGTGCTAATTAGTTTTTGGCAAAAGCGGGTCCAGCCGTTTCAATGATACGGGGCAAAAAGCCGAAAATTGTAGTTTAGTTCTTGAGAGAACGAAGCGTCCGTTTTAAGTAATTCGAAAAACATTTTATTTGTATTGACTAAACGAAGAACTGTTTTTGGGATGACAGGTCTAGAGGTTTAGCGATTACAGAGAATCAATAAGGAAAAGTGATGAAATGACATTTGGCGGTCCAAAATGATCATTAGAATAAGAACAAATTTAGTTTACATTTCTATGGGTTCCGTATCAATGTCTATCCGTTTCGCTTCGATATTTCGTCTCCAAAACAGCTGCGCAGCGCGATTGATTTGAAAAAAAGTTAAAAATTGTCAAAAAATTTCAAAACATAAAAAACATTTTTTTAAAAAAAAAAGCCATTTTTTCAAAATTTTCGAAATGCTCAAAAATATATTTTTTTCAGATTTCAAAAATTTTTAAATATTTTTTAAAAAAATTATGTTTCGGTACGTGAAGTGCCAGCAATTTGTCTTAAGGAAAGATGCCATGCACCACTAGTTCATTTGTATTAATTTATGAAAACTACTATTTGACTGACTTATAATTAAAAGGGCGGCAAAAGTTCTAGGTACGCCACTGCACCCAGGTATAAGCTTTTGTGGCTTTTGTACAGGTTATATGAAAAAAAGCTATTAAATCTTACTTAAAATTAACAATACTTCTTTTAAAACAATTGAATAAAGTATACTTAAAAATTACATTAAATTCTCGTAAACTAAACAACAGTGATCACAACTAAAAGAAATAACTACGAAAGAAAATGCTTTTAATATGGGTCTTCAAACATTTCCGTTTATCTCCTGACAGCAACGTCGTAAAAATCAAGCTTAAGCTGGTTATACATCTTTTTGCTTTTACTTTCAAATATATTGTTAATAAATTCTTAACTTTACTGGATTTGGAGATATCGGTCGTGGACTTGTTTACTCGTGGACCTTTTAGCTCCGCTCTACCCTGCATTCATATTTATACTCTGCACTCTGCGTATACGTTTACACTTTCTTCTGTCATATATTTCATAATTTTCAACTAATATTTTTATATCGTTTTATAAAATGTTTAGCACGCAACAAAATGAGCGGAACAAGTAAGATAATAACTTGTCAATATTCGGATGAATATTTAAAATTTGGCTTTATATTCGAAGTTTGCGATGAGCCGATACTCTTTTGTCTCATATGTCAGCAGTGCTTGAGCAACAAATCAATGAAACCAGGTCGTCTGGAGGCACATTTGAAGGCAAAACATCGTAATCATGTAAATTTAGATTTGAGTTACTTGAAAACTTTGAAGGAAAAGTTTGAGAAAAGAACAACATTGTCCTTCAATATTTACTTCACGGTCTTCAACAAACAATCGTCTTCTTGAGGCGAGATATCAAATTTCATTATTAATTTGAAAAAGTGGAAAAAACCACATTATAAGAGAAATTTAAATAAAACCATCAATTTCAGTATTTATTAACACTTTGGGGACGGCTGTCCACCTCAGTGGACAAACATACTCTGTGAGGTATAGGCTATTTTATAAACAATGACTCAGTTTGCATCGAAAAGTTGAATAAATTACATATAGCACGTTTCAAAGGTTTCTGAATCGACGTTTCAAAGGTTTCTGAATATTTTTGCATACCTTAAAAAAATGGATGTATGCGTGTGTGTGTGTTCGGATACAAATTTTCGTCGACGATTTCGAGAACACCGATCAACCGATTTACGGGGCAAAAAGTGCCAAAAACGGTAACACGGTTTTTAGGAGAACGGAGCGTCCGATTTTAAAAATTCAAAAAACATTTTACTTGTATTGAGAAGATGAAGAATTGATCAAATTGTCATGAAGGCAGGTCTAGAGGTTTCGCAGATCTAATGAAAAAAGTAAAACAAAAAGCCATTTGGCGATCAAAAATGATCATTAGACATATGCACATCAATTTATCAGATATTTTATAGAGATTTTTACAATAAGTATGAATTTTGTTTACATTTATATGGGCTCCGTACCAATGTTTATCTGTTAGACGGCGACGCGGCGCTACGCGCTTTGACATTTTGTCTCTATGCAGTTAAAGCAGTACGATTGCTTTGAACAAAAGTTCAGAATTTCCAAACTATGCCAAAATTTAGAAAACTTTTTTTTTCAAACAATTTTTTTTTGTTTCTCAAAAATAAAAAAAAATAAAAATGAATTTTTTTGTATATCTTTACGTTTCAAATGTTTCTGAACATTTTGGCATACCTTAGAAAAAATATATATGTGTGTGTGTTTGTTCGGATACAAATTTTTGTGGACGATTTCGCGATCACAGTACAACCGATTTAAATAATTAAAAAAATCGATTCCTATTGATAGGGTAACGTGCTGATTAGTTTTTAGCAAATGCAGGCCCAGTTGGTTTGAAGATACGGTGCAAAAAGTGCCAAAAATGGTAATTCAGTTTTTGAGATAACGAAGCGTCCTATTTAAATGATTCAAATAATGTTTTATTTGTATTGATAAAATAAAGAATTGATAAAGTTCTTGGAAAGGCAGGTCTCGTGATTTTGAAGATCCAATAAGAAACGTAAAAAAACATGTCATATGGCGGTCAATGAATATGATCACTAGACATATGCACATCAAATTCGCTCACGCGCTTCGATATTTCGTTTTTACGCAGCCGTATCGTCGTATCGCTTAAAAAAGTTTAAATTTTCCAAAATATTTTAAAGTACAAAAAACTGATTTTTTTTCAGTTAATTCCTTTCAAAAATCTATTTTTTCAAAGTTCTCAAAAAAAATATTTTTTTAATTTAATTTCGGTACGGAAAGTTCCAGCAATCTGCCTCAAGGCACAATGCCATGCACCACTAAGTTGTATAAATATTATTTTATGAAAAATGTTATTTTTAACACTTACCACTTCGAGTCCAAGTACAGTGCTATGGAGGCTTCCATATCGTAGTAACCGCAATCCTCCCGCATTAGTTGCAACGTTGCCGCCGATATTGCAGGATCCCTTACTGCCCATGTCGAGGGGCATCATGAGCCCGTGTTGCTCGAGCGTTTTATCAAGCGTTTCTAGTACACATCCTGATTGACAAGTCAATACGCCTGCGCGACCCCAAAGAGAAAACTAATTAATTTGCGCCCTGTTAACCCTATACTATATTCATCATGAACTGAATGTGGAGGGGCCCTGAATTTGTTTCAAAGCCTTTAGCCCAAAGATAGCAAGATTTCTCAAAAAAAAAAATTAAAATAAATATCATATTACAAAGAAAAAATAGCAATGATTCAAATTAAATATACACTCTTCTTGTCTTTTTTTTTCAATAAAAATTTGTTAAATAATTTATAGTTCCCGCTTATATAGAAAATTGGAATTCTTGTTAACTTGTCATATCATATGACAAGTTAATATGACTCATATGGTGTTACAGTAATCGCAAAAAAATTTATCATATATCCTTTCGTTTAAAGGTTTCTGAACATATTGCCTGCCTTAGGAAAAATGGATTGATATTTGTGTTTACATCGATTTTGTGAACACAAATCAACTGATTTGAATAATTCAAAAGGCATTCCATTCGCATTGACGGAGAGACGTGCTTATTAGTTTGTGGCTAAGGCAGGTCCGGCCGTTTCGAAGATACGGGGCAAAAATGCCAAAATTGGTAATTAAGTTACGATTTCAATGATTCAAAATACATTTTATTTGTGTTGATGAAATGAAGCGCCGCGTCGCAGTCCGATAAACATTGGTACGGAACAGAAATGTGAACAAAATTTATAATTATTATTAAAATCTCTATGAAATATCTGATAATTTGATGTGCATATGGCTAATGATCATTTTTGACCGCCAAATGGCATTTTTTTTACTTTTTTCACTAGATCTCCGAAACCACTAGACATGCCTTCTTAAAAATTTAATCAGTTTTTTATTTTGACAATACAAGTAAATTGTTTTTTGAATTATTAAATCGGACGCTCCGTTCTCTCAAAAACTAAGTTATTATTTTTGACAGTTTTGCTCCGTATCTTTGAAACGGTTGGAAATGCCTTGTCCAAAAACTAATCAGCTCATTTTTTTATCAATAGGAATCGTTTTTTTTCTGAATCGTTCAAATCGGTTGATCTTTTTTCCGAAATCGTCGACAAAAATTTGTATCCGAACATACACACACGCATTCATTTTTTCTAAGCTATTCCAAAATGTTCAGAAACCTTTTAAACGTAAAGGAATGGTATATAAAAATATAAAAGTCAATAATAATTTGAAATAGCTAGTTAGATAAAATGTTCAACTCTTTAGTTCGCAAATGAAGATTTCGTCTTTATCCAGAATAATTTTCAATTGACATCTTTGAAACATACTTATAATACTTGCAAATGTGTACATCATATTAATTTGTTTAACACATTTTATTTCATCTTTTTTCATATACTATAAATGTATTTTATTTAAACATAGACATAAACTGTAATCAATAACGTAAATGTATGTTTTAAATTTTTTGCGATCAGTATAACTTACCCTATGGGAAGTTAAAAAATTCGAAATATTGAATGATAGGATAATAAGAATAACTAGTTGTAAGTAGCATTTTGTCTTAAGGCAAGTTGCAAGAACATATGATGGGAATCAGTGGCGGATCCACGGTGGTCATGAGCATGACCCCCCCCCCCACCCTCGTTAAACCTGTTTTAGGACCTTGATAAAACACTAATTCAACAACAAAATTACTTCATAATTATTATATTTATGTATTTTGTTACCAAACACATTTTATAACTTTAATATTTAACTTATTATAGACGAATGGCGGAGTCAAAGACTCCTAAACTTTAAGGATTTTTTAATCGAATTGCGAATATATGTTTTATACATAATTTTGAATTAGGAATTACAGTTTAGGAAAAAAAATCATTCAAAAATCAGAAAATTCAACTAATTGTGAGTGGCCTAACTTTCTGTAATCCTACATCTGTAACTAGATGGATTAATAAATAAATAAATAAGGACTGATTTAAAGAAGTATACCTAATTGCTGTAAACCATTTCAAAGTGAAAAACTATTGCAAATAATTTTTTTTTTAATTTAACCACTTGTCGCAGGCCTTGATAATGGCTTTAGAGTCTCTGCTCTAAATGAACGTACATTTAGAGCAGAGACTCTATCGACATGCAAAGTTTCACTAAAATCGCAAAAAAATTAATTGACAATCTATTATGAAAAAGAAACGACTCAACCGTACTTCGCCAAAAAACATTTTTTTCCGAATGATGTCAATTGAATAGTTTTTGAATTTGCAAAAACAGTTAAGAATTTTTGACAAAAATATTTTTTTTTGTTTATCATAGCAATCTATACAATGTACATTAGGCTAAAATTTTTGACAATTATGGAAAATGGCGTGAGAAGGATAACTACCCACTGATAGCTCCTTCTAATTACAATGTCTTAATTATTAATTAAAAAATATTTTTTTAATGCACATATTTATATATATATATTCAATTAATATTATGTAGTATTTCATTGCAAGTTTGTTTCTTGAGTCGCTTAGGTGGAACTGGTCCGAGCAGGTCATTCGCCAATTGGTTGGATGATGTTTTTTTTGTATAGCGAAGAAAATGCCTTTATGCATCCCAGACTGGTCTTCTGTCTGGGTATGTCGGACTCGATACCGCCCTGGTATAATACCGACTAAAACCTCCGCTTTGCCTATGCCTCTGGTTCCCACAAAAACCGCCGTTAGGCGTTACTTTGTGGAGGGAGGATCTAGAATGTTATAATTTTTAACTTGTTATAATCAATGTTATAATTCATAAACGTTATACTCTTCTTTTAAATCGGCGAAGTCCCATTCGCCCTTTCTCTTTCTATAGAACGCAGGTCAATTAATACGTCTCTCGCAAATCTGTCTATGGCGTTCCAAGCAGCTTCACTTGTCAACATCACTTCAACAACATTACCTGGGGTAATTCTGCGTCTCAATGTCTCTTCCACATCATCCCGTAGAGCACCAAATCGCGGGCACACGAAGAACACATGCTCAGCATCTTCGATTTGGTTGGGATGATGTGTTAGTCGGTACTTGTATTTGATGCAATACTGGAAAATCTCTTCCTCTATGGTTGGTATGCGCAGGTCTCGATGTAACAGCCAGGTAGGAACATAATTTGGAGCGTTTGCAATCTGTTTTAAAATTTTATTCTGGAATCTCTGCAAAATTGTAATATTTGACTTGCTGGCCGCACCCCAGAGTTGCAAGCCGTAAGTCCAGATTGGTTTGTAAATTAGTATTCTATTTTCAATGGAATCATTCGATCTCCAGCCAATTAGCCAGTATAGTTGCCTACGCGTAAGTTCAAGCTGCTGGTGTTTCTTGATTATGTGTTCTCGCCAGGTGAGTCTCCGATCCAAGTGGATCCCCAGATACTTAACTGCATTTATTTGAGGTACCGGCACATTATTAAATGTGACTATGGGACACAAATTATGACGAAGGGTGAAAGTAATGTGCGCAGATTTAGTGGTGTTAACTTTTATTCTCCAGGTATTTAGCCAATTTTCTAGCTGGTTGATATGCTGCTGTAAAACTGTGGATGCGAGTATATGGTCATCGTGTTGGGCTAAAATACCCGTATCATCGGCAACGGTGGCAATCATTGTATTTGGATTTACTGGTATATCTGCGGTAAAAATGATGTACAGCAGTGGTCCCAAGACGCTACCCTGTGGTACTCCAGAGGAAATATTTCTGATGCTGGAAGTCTCGTCATTATAGCTGACAATAAACTTTCTTTCAGTCAAGTATTCTTTTATCAGGAGGTAGTAATTATATGGCAATATCTTTTTCAGTTTTTTGACAAAAGCATGGACGATAATTTTTGCACTTTTCTGCCAATAGTAAAGAAACGGATCACCCAATTGTCTCCATAGGCGGCGTAAAATCAGACGGCGAGAGGACAAACAATCCAATGCATTATTTTTAATTTTAAAGGGAAACGACATAACAGCTACATTATTCAACCAACGCAAAATATAAATTTTATGGATACTTTTTTACAGAGATAACTCTGTATATAACCTTGATTTGATATTTTGTCCAAAATATACATCAGCAGAGTTGCAATAAATATTTATTTAATTTATCTCTTGTAAAAATGATTTTTTGAACGTCATCAGAATCAAGGTGATGGCTGGTTGTACATTTTGTTCCTCTACTTTCAAATATTGTTGTTAAGAAATCTTTTTACTTACAAAAACTTTACTTGTATTTGAGATATCGGTGGTGGTTACCGGTAGTGGTTTACACGCGGATTTTTGAGCCCCGCTCTATCTTATGGCGCCGATGCTGGATCCGCCACTGTTGGGAATGCTAGCAAAAAATTTGAACAACCGATCACAAACCGGGGTATAACTATGAATTGACTTTTGTAGCCAAAATAGCTGATGACCATTTCAAAGTTTGGTTTTCACTTCTTCATTTGTTGTTGATTCTATAAGTTCTTCTTCTAACTGGGTTGATATTTCTATATTTGCATTCGGGTCTAACACCCAGCCTGGTATTTCTAAATTTAAAACATCCTGAAATCTTTCAATGAAATTACTATGAAGATTTTTGAAATGTTGGCAAGATGCCGATAAATATAGAAAATTATGAATTAGGAATTTTATTTTTCAAGTAGTATGTGAATCGTTCTTGATAATCCCTCATAGCTGGAGCACCATCTGTAGCAATCGAAATAATATTCTTCAAGGCAATATCTTTCACATCAACTTCTCCAGTGGTTTTTCCTTTCGTGTCTGACTCTAAATTCCTCACATCAGTTTGTAAAGTGGACTAATCATTGGAGTAAAAATTGACAAGACTTCAAATGATTGCACAATGATTCTTCGATGTTTTTTGCCATTTCATCAATTCTTCTTTGAACAGAACTCAAAGGAATTTTGCGAATTATATCTGCCACTGATTTACGCAGCACAGTAATTTTTATCACTGGCAAAATTAATGTTTCTCCAATGGAGTGTGGTTTACCTGTTTGAACAATTAACAGTATTCTATTATATGAAGCTCGAAGCCCGTCATCCTGCTTAGCAGCAGTCAAAAAAGGTTTTGATACACTTGGCCGAGCATTAATTTTCTTTTCTTGATTGTGAAAGGAGTAGTATCCATGAATCAGCCACCAATATTGTTATATCAAATTATTACAACTTGATTGCGTATAGCGTGAGAGCTATCATAATTGAAATCTGTGTGAAGTATTTCAAGTTCTTATGCGAGTTGGGATTCAAATTCTGGTGAATTTGAAAATATAAAGTAAACTAAATTACAAATTTCATATCGCCGCCCTAACCCCGGTCAATGACCAACATTTATTCGAGGCTTTTTATCGCCCCCTCCCCTGGATATTACAATCGACCACCGGAGGGCGATATAGACCCCTTTGAGAAAGACTGGTCTAAGGCGTTCGAGTCATCCGAGAATCAGGTAAAATACCATCCACGTACTAATACTTATACAGCACAAAATATGTTAATTAGGAAGAAACACCTTGGACGATTATCACATGAACGCTAACGAAAATTGAGATCTAACGAATAGTTTGAAACTGTGATAATTAAATTTCCGTAGAAGTTTATATTTTTGCCTGAAAATCCGATCTATATTGGAAAAAGTATGTGTGTGTATGCGTATGTGAGTCAAAATTTGATTTTTTGTCGACGTTTTCTTAAAATTACTGAACGAATTTTCAAAATTTGACAAAAATCGATATAGACTCGTGTCGATTACTTATGTGAGACTTTTTGAAAAAAATTTCTAATTAATTTTTCGTGAAGTTTGGCGGGGCAGTTTCTTCGTAATTAATTAATTATTGAAAAAAATTGACGCTAATGGCGAAATTCTGTACGACGACAGAGTTAAGTCTATACGAATATACTAAATTATTACAGACTAACAACATTTGTGGTTTAAATATAGCAATTGTTTAAAGTTTTAAATGAGTCGCTCATATTACACACACCGTATATAGGCTCTTATTACAAACGTTGTGTTTGTACTGATTACCATTACGGATCAACCGATTTGAATGGTTCAAAAAACAATTTATCTCTATTGATAGAGAGATGTGCTGATTAGTTTCTGACAAAGGCAGGTCCAGCGTTACGGAGACACGCAGCAAAGAGTGCAGAAAATAGAAATCGAGGTTTTGAGAGAACGGAGTATCCGATTTGAATGATCCAAAAAACATTCAATTTGTAATGATTGGGAGAAGAGATGATTAGTTTTTTGGCGAAGGCAGGTCCAGCCATTTTGGAGATTCCCAGCTGATTGTGCAAAAAAGCATCCGATTTGAATAATTCAAAAAACTTTCTGCTTGTTTTGACAAAATAATTGCTTTTGTAAAAAAAAATTCAACTTTTTTTAAAATTTTTTTTGTATATCGAAAATAATTCAGATTTTAATTTTAATTCTGGCTAAAGTTCTAAAGCTCACTTATATGCTTTAAATAAATAATTTTAACTTCGTTATTCAGTTTATATAATTCTTATAAATCTATTTCAAAATATATTTAATATTCCTCGAACATTTAGTTACGGTAAAGGAAGTTCCAGCAATTTGCCTTAGGGCACGATGCCATACACAACTAGTTTCTGAATTATATCTTATATAAAAATAATCTTGAAGTGATCAAAAATTATTATTTGCGGCCAAAATTTCTATCACAAACTTGATTTTTGAAATGTGTTAAACCTAATATGCTTTTACCTGCTGCTGAATCAATGCTAATTATTTTGTTCATTAGCGAAGTGCTAATGACGACCTCATCAAACACTGGAGTTGAACCACCAACTAGACCAGTGTTACCTCCTTGTGGACAAACTGCAAGACGTTGCTCGTTGCAATACTTCAACAGGGCAGATACTTCTTGCGTGCTTTTTGGTTGTAATACAACACTGCTACGCCCTGAAAATAAAATAATTTAGTACTAATTCTGTAAATGATATAAATTACATAATTTTGGCCTTTATTATAATTCATTATTATAAAATCATTTTATTTTATTTTTTGACCATATTATTGCACTGCCTTTTAATATGTTGTGAGTTTGAACTTGACTCGCTAATTTTGTGTTTTTTTCGACGGTTCAATTAATTCTTAATCGTCTGAGACCCAATTTGGTGACCCAATGTGTGTGTGTGAAGTGTGAGAGACAATTTTTCGGCCAAGCCCTCTCTGTGTAATTAGCAGAAAAGTGCAAAATTGAACCACTATGTTTTAGAAAATTCTGAATACATTTAAAAATTCAAAATCTGGTATAACTAGTGGTGCACCTGGTTGAAACTTTCCGTACCAAAATTAATTATTTGAGGGAAAAAATCAGTAATCAATAAGTATTGATCAATGATTAATAACAATTATTTTAAACATTTTCAAATAGATAATTATAATCACTATATGATTTATCGTTCATAAAATATACAGTGACGATCTTATCGCTCAAAACACTTAAGAAAGTTTACATAAGGAAGAGGTGCCGAATAAATTCATCTGAGGATATATTTCTTATGATTAGAATAAAGCATTTGAAATATATACATTTACTGAATTGTAAATTTAAAATTCATATTTGAAGTACAAAACTTTGTATATTTTTTTAATTTTTTTTTCTGAAAATTTTGAAATTTGCTTGAACCGTATAAGTTTTAATTAAAAATTAAAAATCTTGGTACGGAACCCAACAAAAGTGTAACAAAAAAATTAGTACTCGTTTTTAAAAACTTTATCAAATATCTGATAATTTGATGTGCATAGGCATACGTCTAATATTCATTTTTCGACCACAAAATATCATTTTCTACTTTGTATCTCCGAAACCGCTATCCCTGTCTTACCAAAAATTTCATCAATTATTTACTTCGTCATTACAAGTATAATGCTTTTTGAATCATTCAAATCAAGTACTCTTTTCTCTCAAAAACTAACTTACCGTTTTTAGCACTTTTTTGACCCATATCTCCGAAACGGCTAAACCTGCCTTCATCAAAAACTAATTAGCACGTCTTTATATCAATAGGAACCTAATGTTTTTTGAACCATTCAAATCGGTTGATTTGAGCGCCCGAAATCGTGGACGAAACATTGTATCCAAACATACATACATACTACACACACACATACTGGAATGAAGCCTTTGAAACGTAAGGATATGTAAAAAATTTCATTTTCGAAAGTTGAAAAGATCTATATAGCGGTCAAAAATGATCATTAGACAGATGCATATCAAATTATCAGATATTTTATAGAGATTTTAATAATAAGTACAAATTTTGTTTACATTCTTAAAGGTTCCGTAGCAATGTTTATCCGTTAGTGTGCCACGCGGCGCTTACGCGCTTTGATATTTCTCTCTATGTCTCTATGCAGCTAATGTAGCGCGATTGCTTTGAAAAAATGTTCAATAAAATTTTCAAAATATAAATCGCGGGGGATACGTTCCATGAAAAATATATAAAAATGAATCACAAAATGTGTTGGTAAGCGCATAACTCAACAACGCCTGGACCAATTTGGCCAATTCTTTTTTTTAAAATGATCGTTGATGTCCAAGGATGGTTCTTACGGCGAGAAAAAATCGAATAATTGCCGGAAAAAACCCTAAAAACAGCCCTTTTCTTTTTCTCATAGAAACGTTTTCTAACTAAAACATAGAATCAATTTGAGCTTCATTGCTATTATAGAAAGTTCATATTAAATTACAAGCACTCACTGTATACTCCTTCTAAACGATTATGCGGATTGTGATAAATCTTTCTGAAGTTTGTTAAGGAAATTCTCTAGGATGTATGTGATTATAAAGTACTGGGATTCATGTGCAATATTGTAGAAATAAATGGAAAAAATTGTAAAAAACGACATGTCATTATTTGCATTGAAAACAAATGAAAACTATCATCTGCCAAAAATTTCAATTTACTTATGAACCTAGACAATATTAGAGTATGCATAATAAATTTATTATTATGAGTAATAAAAATGAAATGTCTATATTATTATTGCCAAAAAGCAGCTGAGATGTGCCAGAAATTAAAATGATATAAAATACAGTATATGTTTGGCAGATTGAATGATACACATATGAACAGGATATGACAAATTAATTCACTTGAAATATAAAATTAAGTATTAATCAGCGCCGGTCCTACTTTTAATGCAATGTATGCGAAAAATACGAGGGGCGCCAACACAAGATTCGGATATTAAATTTTCAATACAGTTTTTTTTCAATATTTAATTTCTTTGCATCTTTTACTAATCTTTCCACAATATTTTTAAAATTCGTAAAATTTTCAATTTATAACAACAAATGGGAAAGTAAAGATGAATACATACAATTCAGCCCTCACGATATCGATTAGGAGAAGTTTAAGATGCGGTTTTGGATATCATAAATAATAAAAAAATGAATTAATTTAATTCAACATGAAGTATTAGTGTTATGTTATGGTTATGGTTATGTTATACCGTTTAAAATATTTCAATTTCCAATATAGTGTGGGAATTGAGACTCATCATTTTATTTAAAGCAGTTCTACATTTAACATTGCTCATGTTATAAATGTATATGCATTTTGGCGTGAAGAGTAATTTAGTAATATTATTTTTAGGTAAACGGTAAATATTAGTATATTATATTAAAAAATTGTAGGCATGGGTACAGGACAACGTATGTCGGGACATCTAGTTATAAATAAATAGAGTAATAAGGTTTACATTTTCACATAATTTTATTGGTTTACATTCTCAAAAACACCGAAAGCGGCAAAGACTGCCAAGGCAATGAGGGCGGCTTATGTCAAAGTTTTTTTATTGGTTCCAAATGAAGGCATTTTACAAAGGATTACAAAACAAAAATCATTACAAAACCCTTTGTACATATATATGTATGTTTATTACAATAATAAGAATGTTCAATGAAAATTATTTAAATTATAAATTTAACGACATTCCGGCTCGACAACACCACTGTATATGTTTATATTGTATGATTCTGAATTTTATGTTGGCATATGTATTAACAAAGTCTGGTAATCGGGCATAACATAAAAAACATGAATTTCTTTCAAAAAATTATTTAAAATCATTCAGTGGAAAAATTAGTTAAGCTTAGGCTAGAATTATAGCCGAAACGTATGGATTTTAAATAATTTTTTTAAAGAAATTCAAGTTTCTTATTGATGTTATGCCCGATTACTAGACTTTGTTAAATATTTCACATGTTATTTACTTACCCCGCATACTATTGAGCCAGTCCACATTGTGAGGGTGCACGTCGTACGGATCCGTTAACACGCGCGCCTTGTCTCCCCCCAATAAGTGCTGGAAGCGATTTGTGTGCTCCAAAGATAACTGATTGTAATTTCCACGTTGTATTCTATATCGCTCCTAAGAAAAATATTTTGCTGTCACATCACATTATTAACTTACGGTGGAATAAGTTATAGTAATTGCAAAAAAATCGAAAATAAAAATGTTTATATATTTTCATATTTCAAAGGTTTCTGAACATTTTGGCATGCTTTAGAAAACACGGACCGATATATCGTGGCAGGACTTATATATCGTCTGAGGACGACTGGACCGATTTAAAAAATTCAAAAGCCATTTCATATATCTCGATCGGGACTAACGTTTGTCAGTTTTGCGCTACGGTCGGCCGAACCGTTTCTTTGTAAATTGCAGAAGTTAAAATTTTCGTTTACGTTTTAGCCCACAACTCTGAATCGATTTTGAAAATTCAAAAATTGTTCGAAAGATATTGGTTGGGAATCGTGCTGATTAGTTTTTGGTAAAGAACGGTCAGGCCATTTCTTGTAATAAAGTGTAAGAAAAAAATTTTCGACGATTTTTTTTTTGACAGTAGATACCATAGTCTTATAGATCATACTGAAAAATTACGGTCCTACAACTCGTTTAATTTTAAAATTTCGTCAACGTTTGCAAAAATTAGTATCGTTTTTTTGGCATTAATCAAAATTAGATCTTTCATCGACGTTTGCTCAGAAACCCCTGAACAAATTTCAGAAATTTAAAAGCCATTTGATGTATCTCGATGAGGATTATCGTTTCTCAGTTTTGTGCGAAGATTGGCCGAGCCGTTTTTTTGTAACTTTTCGTCTACATTTAAGCTCATACTACCGAATCGATTTTAAAAAATCGAAAACTGTTCGAATGATATTAGTTAGGAAGGATACTGATTAGTTTTAGGTGAAAATCTACCAAGCCGTTTTCTTGTAATTAACTGTTGAAAAAAAAAATTTAAGCCGATTTTTATGGAACTTTTTTTGGCGATATATATTATGGTTTTTTTTAGAACTTACTGAAATATTACGGCCTTACAACAAGTAGTTTAATTTTAAAAATTCATCAAAGTTTGAGAAAATGAGTAGTTTTTTTGGCGTTTGTTAAAATTAAAAATAGTCGATTTACTTGGAATAACGATAGAGTATAAAGATAGAGTCTTAATGAACATACCGAACCATTAAAGTCTTATAGAAACTGTTTCAATTATAAAAATTATTGATTCTTGAAAATTTGCTCTTAGAAAATACTCCGAGTTTACGTGTTCGTTCGTTTTCAATTATGTGTAAAAAATCCACTCAGAATACTTTTAATCACTCATAAATTAATTTATCTATTATGGATTAAGTCGATTATTTACACATATCGGGAAGTTCATGTAACTTACCTCAAGGCAAAATACCAATACCAACTAGTTAATTTTAAAATTCACGTATATGGTGCAAATAAATGTCCTCGACATTTTAGACAGTATGGAATAACCGAATTGAATAATTTAAAAAACATTCGATTCGTATTGATAATGAGACGCGCTGTTTAGTTTTTAACGAAGGCAGGTGTAGCCGTTTCGCAGATGCGGGGCAAAAAGTGCCATAAATCAGTTTTTAAGAGAACAGATTTTACTTGTATTGACAAGATGAAGAACTGATTAAATTTTTGGGAAGGTCCAGCGGTTATGGACTCTCGATAAAAATAAGTTAAGAAAATGTCATTTGGCGTTCAAAAATGTTTATTGGACATATGTACATCAAATTATCAGATATTTTATAGAGATTTTAATAATGTGTACACATTTTGTGTAAATTGTTTTGGGTTCCGTACCAAGATTTTTGAATACGGTACGGAAAGTTCTAGCAATTTGCTTAAAGGCACGATGCCATGCACCCCACTAGTTTCCCTAAGTATTTAATTAGCCTTAGGACACGATGCCACGCATCACTAGTTAATTTTTTCTAATCAGTTCAGGCATTTTTGAGAAAACGTGAATGAAAGATCTAATTTTGACATACGCTAAAAAAGGATACTAATATTTTTCAAGCTTCGATCATTTTTAAAATTAAACGACTTGTCGTAGCGCCGTAATATTTTATAAGTATGTTTTTTAGGACTATGGTATCTATCAGCATATACAACTTCATCATATTTTTTTTCAACGGTTGATTACAAGAAACGAAACGGCTGATCTTTGTTCAAACATAATCGGTACGATTCTCATATAATATCTTTTGAATAGTTTTTGATTTGACATAAACCTGGACGAATTTTTTTTCACTTTTCTGCTAATTACAAAATGTGGATCACTTCAAGAACTTGGAAAGCATCCTGAATAGAGACGGATATTGCATATAAAGCACAAATAAATCATTTTTGGAACAATAAGCTACAATTTTAGGACATACAAGCACACGTGTCTGTGCAATTCAATTAATATATTTACAGATATTATGTGTTTGAGAAATAAACTTTTGAAAATGTTATCTAAATATCTAAATCTCAATTTTAGTTGTTTAAGTCAATTATTACACATATCGGGAAGTTTTTGCAACTTGGCTTTAGGCAAAATGCCACTTTCAACTAGTTGTTACGATTAGCAAAACAGTGTAAAAAAATTCGTGTCCTCGTTTTAACCAAAAATTCTACGCCGCCTATAAAAATTCAAAGACCGTGTGAAAGATATATGTTGGAAATCGTTTAGTTTTTAGTAAAGATCGGAAAGGCCGTTTCTTCGTAATTAATATTTCAAAATTATTTTTTCAATGATTTTGTGAGTCAAACTTTAACCTTTCGTGCGTGTTTTCTCAAATACCGCTGAATCGATTTCAAAATTTAAGTCATTCGATGACAGTTTTTGAGAGAACTTCATTAGAATCATTCAATTTTACTTTTATTAACAGAATGAAGTATTGAATACATTTTTGCGAAGGCAAGTCCAACAGTTTCAAAGATGCAGCAAAGGAAGTTAACGAAATACCATTTGATGGTAAAAAATTATCATTACAAATCATTATTATTGATTCATATATAAATAGCATTATTGGTAAGCAGGTAGACAGGCAGACAACTGGGTAGTTAGACAGGTAGACAAGTAAAAAACTATGCAAGTACAAAAATAGACAGATTGGCAGGCAAAAATATAGGCCGGTAGGCAGGTAGACTCTCAGACTCATAGACTGAAGGACTGATGGACTGATAACATGTAGACACAGGTAAACAGGTGGACAAGCAGACAAGTAGATAGGTGGATCATATACAAATTAAATTATTATTGATTAAATCGGTTATTTACACATATCGGGAAGTCCATGCTAGGTGCTCTATTGCCAGTTTCGGTAAGAAATTTAGGAATGACCTATCAAGTCATTCTGAATAATCTGAATCAAGACCAAATTTTGTGAAAAGTATGAATGTGTAAGTAAATCGATTTTCGTCCGGTCGTCGACGTTTTTTTATAAACGAATGAACTAACTTACAAATTTTAATACCATTTGGTCGAGGGACTAGTATGCCATAAATCCAGAATTGTTTTTAAAAATTCTAAAACCGTTCGAAGTTTTGCGCCGAATAGTTTTTAGAAAAGATGGAATGATTTAGTAAAGATTTTTTCAATTTCAAGAATTTATCTACGTGTGAAGAAATGAGCATCGCATTAATTTGATGTCAACTTTCAAACATTTAAAGGCCTTTTCAATGAATCATAATAAGGACGATAGACGATTAGTTCTACGGGGCATTCGGAAAATCGAGTAATTTTTTCAGAATTAGCAGAAAAATTAAAAAAAAATGTCAAAATTTTTCAAATTTAAAAACAGTTTTAAATATATCAGTTAGTGATGGCAAATCGCAGTTGGCTCTAAATCGTTGTTAGTTTTTTTGGTTGTGAGCACTGATGTTGCTTGGTTTACAAGGCCAATTTTTCAATATAAACGTTATTTAATTGTTTTATAAAATATATTGTAGATTTCAAGTTACATTTAACAGTTCTTTTATGTAACTTCTATAAAATCTTCACCGGGGGGGTCTCAATCAGCTCTGACAAAGGTGAAAACAATAAAACCCCTTTAAAATTATAAATAACTTGTTTGCCCTCTGGGGACGGCCCATTGCACCTCGCCTATGGGGTGGAAAGGACCTAGCGACAAATATTAAAAAAAAGGAAAAACCACATTTCTACTATGATAAATCAGTTTACGTGTTATTTGTTGTTATATGATTGGTTTGGTTTTCACAATATAAATGCTCAAAGTCAATAGACATTTGTGCCCTGCCTTATCCTAATGATTCATTAAAGTTTGGAATAAGCCACGCTTTTGAGACAACCTACACGTGCTCGTAGACAATAATTAATATATTCAAAAATATTGATTATAATTCACAATACTTACGATACACAATAATTAATATATTCAAAAATATTGATTATAATTCACAATACTTACGATACACAATAATTATTATATTCAAAAATATTGATTATAATTCTGTTTGAAGAATATTCATTGGAAATTGCATTGATTAGGTTTTAGTGAAATCGAAAACTTTATTTACGAATTTTATCACAATTCTTGTTGATTAAGTCATTTATTTACGCGTATCTGAAAGTTCATGAAACTTTTCTTAAGGCAAAATGACACATACACTTAGTTTATATAACGCAGAGGAGTTATAACATTGTTTATATAATTTGTAATTATTATTTTTATTTTCATAAAAATTGTATTATAAAATAAATGTTTACAAAAATAAATATTATGTCATGTCATTCTCATTTGTTCCGTTTCCATGTCCAGTATACTTTGATCTCACAACATTAATGAGATATCTATTTACAAACTAGATGACCCGACAGACGTTGTCCTCTACTCATGTACAGTGGCGGATCCAGGGGGGAGTCACGGGGTCATGACCCCCCCTGAGCCTGTTTTAGGACTTAGATGAAACACTAATTTAACAACAAAATTACTTCATAATGATTTAATTTATGTATTTTGTTACCAAACACATTTTATAACTTGAATATTTAACTGATTGTAGACGAATAGCGGAGTCAAAAACCCTAAAATTTAAGGATTTTCTAATCGTATTGCGAATATATGTTTTATTACAGTTTAGGAAAAAAAATTCATTCAAAAATAAAAAAAATAAACTGATTGTGAGTGGCCCTTACGCATGAACTTTCTGTAATCCTAACATCTGTAAATAGACGACTTAATCAATATATAAACTAGTGGTGTATGGCATCGTGCCTTAAGGCAAATTGCTGGAACTTTCCGTACCGTAAAGAAATGTTCGAAGAATATTAAATGTTTTCAAATAGATTATTATAAATATTGTAACAGGGTCTAATATTTATAAGAATTATTTAAACTGAATTGCAAAGTTAAAACTATTTATTCAGAGTATATAGGTTTTAAACTTTAGTCAGAATTAAAATTAAAATCTAAATTATTTTCGATATACAAAAAAAATTAAATATTGAAAAAAAAATTGAAACAATTTTTTTTTCAAAAGCAATTATTTTGTCAAAACAAGCAGAAAGTGCTTTGAATCATTCAAATCGGTCGCTCAGTTCTTTCAAAAACTGCCATTTTTTGCATATTTAGCTCAGTATCTTTGAAATTGCTGGACCTGCCTTTGCCAAAAACTAATCACCTCATCTCACAATCATTACAAACTCAATGTTATTTCGATCATTCAAATCGGATACTCCAGCCTCTCAAAAACTCGATTTGTGTTTTCTGCACTCTTTACTCCGTATCTCCGTAACTACTGCACCTGTCTTTGCCAAAAACTAATTAGCACATCTCCCTATCAATAGGAATCGAATGTTTTTTGAACCATTCAAATCGGTTAATCCGTACGCCCGAAAACGTGGACGAAAAAATGCTGACATACAAAACACACATCGGCGGAGTAAAATCGGCGAGAGGACAAACAATCCAATTTACTATTTTTAATTTTTAACGGATTTAACGAAATAATAGCTACATTATTCAACCAATGAAAAATATGAGTTTTATAGATACATTTTTTACAGAGATAACTCTGTATATAACCTTGATTTGATATTTTGTCCAAAATATTCACCAGCAGAGTTGGAATAAATATTTATTTAATTTATCTCTCGTAAAAATGCTTTTTTCAACGTCGTAAGAATCAGGGTGATGGCTGGTTGTACTTTTTCCCCTCTACTTTCAAGTATTGTTGTTTAGAAATCCTTAACTTTACTTGTTTTTGAAATATCGGTGGTGGACCTTTTTACCCGCGAATCTTCAAGCCCCGCTCTATCTAATATATATATGAATATATATATATATATATATATATATATATATATTAAATTTGTTACATACTCATTGAGGACTATAAAAACTTCTCAATTATGACCCCCCCCTGACGCCGAAGCTGGATCCGCCACTGCCCATGTATGCAATTTTTTAATATAATATACTAATATATATATATAATATTTACTGTTTAGCTAAAAATAATAATTATTGTTTTTTAAATTACTCTTTACGCCAAAATGCATATACATTTATAACATGACCGATGTTAAATGTAGACGGTATAACATAACCATAACCATAACATAACACTGGGACTTCATGTTGGATTAAATTAATTTATTTTTTTATTATTTATGATATCCAAAATCGCATCTTAAACTTCTCCTAATCGATATCGTGAGAGCTGAATGGTATGTATTCATATTTACTTTCCCATTTGTTGTTATAAATTGAAAATTTTACGAATTTTAAAAATATTGTGGAAAGATTAGTAAAAGATGCTAAGAAATTATATATTGAAAAAAAAAACTATATTGAAAATTTAATATCCGAATCTTGTGTTGGCGCCTCCTAAGGCGTGCGCTCGTATTTTTCGCGTGCATCGCATTAAAGGTAGGTCCGGCCCTGATTAATACTTAATTTCATATTTTAAGCGATTTAATTTGCCATATCCTGTTTATATGTGTATCATTCAATCTGCCATACATATGTAGCGGACTTGACACCTGTCAGTTGATTGATGCGTCAGTTGATTAGTGATGAACACACAACTAAGTCAGTTATCTAGAACGCCGTATCTAGAACTTCGTATATAGCAAGCCTGGCGCTAGTTTATGTTTCGGAATCGAATAAAATGTTTTCTCTGATTTTTATTTCCGCGATTGTTGTCGAGCAAATTTAGTAAATGATTTGATAACAAAATTACTGAGGTAAATTATACCAATTTTTTCCAACATGTCGACTCGATCTACGCCCATCAATGAGGAAACAGCTTTTAACAGATCTCTGATCGATCTGGATCAGGAGGCGAACCTAAATACGAGCAGTCCACGTGTTTCTGAACACGATAGTTTTGCGAAGCAATCCGTAAATCATTTCAATGGAGATTCGCCGGACCTATGGTTCCTAATCATAGAATCAGAATTTCAATCTGCCAAGATCAGGAGCGACGATACAAAGTACACGGCAGTACTTAAAGCCCTGGATTTTGAAACCCTACGCCTCATCCAAGATGTCCTCCGTAATCCTCCAAAGTCGGACAAATACGAACACATTAAGAAGACTATATTAAGCAGAGTGCCCGAATCCAGAGGTAAGCAGATTGACAAACTATTACAAACTTATCTCTAGGCGAGAAGAAACCATCACAGCTCCTACGAGAGATGATGGATTTGGCGAAGGGAGAGGTCAGTGAAGACATCATAATAAAACTGTGGTCAGAGCGCCTGCCACACCACTTCCGGCCCCAGTTGATAGTTTCTCGTCATCTAGGCCCGGAAGCCCTGTCGGAAGTAGCCGATATTTTGGTCGATCACTGTGCGCCCACATCATATGTGATGTCCACAACACACAAGCCTTTAGTGGAACAGAGACTGGACCGCCAACCCTGCTTATGTCATGCGTCCAGGAAATCAAGGAACTAATAGCATTGTTGAACACTGAAAGGCAGAAAAATGATCAGCAGGAATTAAAACACAATCGGTCAAGACCAAGGAGTGGCTCTCGACACAGGTCCAGCGTCCAGGACACCTTCTCGTGGATCAGTTTGCTACTATCATTACAGATTTGGTGAGAAAGCCACAAAGTGTGTGGAGCCCTGCCTGCTCAAATCGTTAAACCAGACGGAAAACTAACTTCACCGTCATTAATTGGAGCATGCAATGATGGTGAAATAAATTCTGTTTGCTCTGAGCTCCGCCTACAGACTTCAAGACAGAAAGACTTCAATCCAATTTCTTATAGATTCCGGATCAGTTTTATCCATATTACCAGCCCATAAGTTCGATAATGGTCATGCCAAGGAAGAACTAGTTTTGTTTGCAGCAAACTCTAGCAGAAGATCCATGTATGGCAAGAGAACTCTGGAGCTGGATCTATCACTACGCAGAAGTTTTAACTGGCAGTTTGTTGTTGCCGATGTAGCCACAGCCATTATAGGAGCCGATTTCCTGAGCAACTTCAGTCTGTTGATAGACTTG